TCTCCCTCCACTTTGGTCTTGGCTTGTAGCCTTTTTAAGTTGAAGAATTTACAGTCAGTGTGGTAGCTGACCCTGACACCATGTTCATCCTCATTGAAAGCATTTGACAACATGTCTGAAAACATCATGCTAAAAAGCATGGGAGCAAGCACACAGCCTTGTTTCACTACACTGGTGACTGGGAAAGCCCTAGAGCATTGTCCATTATCCAGAACCTAAGCCAGCATGCTGCCATGAAATTGACATAAAATGCCAATGAACTTCTCCAGGCAACAGAATTTTGACATAATTTTCCGTAAGCCCTCATGACTGGCAGTGTCAAAGGCTTTGGTCAGATCTACAAATGTTGTGTACAGATCTCTGTTCTGCTCCTGGCATTTCTCCTGGAGTTGTCAGGCAACATAACACCATATTGACCATTCCTCAGCCCTTTCTGAAGCCACACTGGCTCTCAGGTAGATGACCATCTTCCAGGTGAAGGATCAGCCTATTAAGGAGGACTCTGGTAAGAATCTTGCCAGCAGGGACTAAGAGAGAGATGCCCCTGTGACTGTCACAGGACAAATCTATTTCCTTTACTTTTATAGAGATGGACAATGGAGGCATCCTTGAACTCTTGGGGGATAAACTTCTCTTGCCATATAACCTAGAAAATTTCCATCAGCTTTTGTATGAGCAATGGACCCCCTACCTTGTAAATCTCAGCTGGAATAGAATCAGCACCAAGTGCTTTGCTGCACAAAAGGAGCCTAAAGACATTCAAAACCTCTTCTTCAGTTGGAACTTCAGCTTAGGACAGATTGACTTCAACCTGAGGTAAACAGTCAATGACTTCAGCATTGATTGATGATCATCTGTTGAAAACATTATGGAAGTATTCAGCCCATCTCTCTAGGATAGTGTCGCTAGATATCACTAATCAATGTAGCTTCATCAGCACTGAGTAGTTGAGAGGTACCATAGGTCTTTGACCTACAAATAGCCTTCAGGGCATCATAAAAGCACTTTGGACTGTTAACTATCAGCACAAAACTTAATTTCATTACTGAGCCAAGAATCCTGCATCTCTCTAAGCTTTGCTTGTACTTTATTTTTTGATGGAATTAAATACTGCCTTCTTAGAGATGGATGAACTATCCTGCTGGTAAACCCTATGGAGTTCTTGTTTTTCATTTAGCAGTTTCTGAATTTTCCCATCATTTTCATCAAACCAGTCTTGATGTTTGTGAATGTTCTGACCCAGAGGAGTAAGTGCATTGCTATACACCAAATCTCTGAAAGTTGCCCACTCTTTTTCTGCTCCACTGTTGCCAACTGTGTGTTGGCTCAACTTACCCTCCGAGTGAGCAACTCCATTCCTCCCTAGGACTCCCTTCCAAGTCTGGTAGTCTGAGCCTACTCTAGCATTAAAGTCACTCAGAATTATAAGTTCGTTCTCTTTTGGCACATTGATAATAAAGGTCTCCAGGTCTTCATAGAATTTTTCTTTGACCTTGTTAGGGTTTGTCATGGTAGGAACATAGTCACTGATGATAGAGGCATAATGTTTTCCTATAAGTGGCAATTATATTGTCATGAGCCTTTTGTCCACTATGATTGCAAAACCTAGACCAGCTTCATAGCACTCTCCTTCACTGCAGCCCCTCCAGAAAAACATGTATCCAGCTCCAACTTCAGTAAGCTGGCCTTCATTTGCCAGCCTTGTTTCACTCAGGGCTGCTATTTGGATGTGATACCTGCTGAGTTCTCTTGCAACAAGAGCTGTTCATCTTTCAGATCTACTGGATTTTGAGTTGTCTATAAATGTGCACACATTCCATGTGCCAATGGTGAGTGGAATTGTCTTTGCAGTTGTTTTTGTATGTTTTGTGTGTGTGTGTGTTTCAACCACAGAGTGTGATCCCTATCTGCTGTGATAATCAGGCATTAGATAAGCAGACAATTTTTAGGGCACCTTTTCTAGCCCCTTTCTCCCACCAGGAGGTGAGCAGTGCAATCCTTAAAAGGCTGCTCAGACACCCAGGGGGCTGCTGAATCCCACTGTTGCTTCCAGTGAAGCCTGTGCCACCAATGTGTAAGGTTGTGACTACAGCTCCCCGTATATCTGCATCTGCTCTTTTGTCACTTGCCTGTCACCACAAGACTTTGAGATAGGCACAATTTGGAGAAAGCCAATGACCATAATTTTATTAATCATTTTATTTTTCTTAAGTATTTACTGCCTATAATTAATAAATTGATTATTAATTACCCAGAAATTATGTCTCTCAGGCTTTTCATTTATCACAAATGAACTTCAAAAGGATTTCTAAGTGAAGGTGGTAGAAGGAATCTGGACTTGGCAACAGCAAGCAAGGAGTATCCAAAGTCTTTGACCACAACAGTGGTCAAAGGGTTCCATGAGGTAAAATGTAGCTAGTGCTGGAAGAGGTGGTAAGAGATGCCGTACCATGAGGGGGGAGCCATAGCTCAGTGAGGGCCAGAACATGAAAGAGTTAAAAGGGAAGAGGTTTAAGATGACATGAAGTTTGTTAATTATGGAGCAGACATTCCAGAGGGTGCAGGGACAGGTAGCTTTAGGGTGAGAAATGGAGGAAGGGGGTGGTGTCATGGTTGAGGTGGATGGGTGTGAAGGAGTAATAAATTAACAATAGGGAACAAGGTTTGTACATCATCAACTGAGGGTTTGGAATCACTGGAATGAGCCAAGTATGAGGGCATGAAAGTATTCTAACCATTGATAAGTAAGTCCAGGCAGCATACCAGTAGTTAGAGAAAGGTTTATTGAGAGAAACAAAATAAGACTGAAATCCTTCCTTGAATTTCAGCTTCCTGGGAGACGGTTTTGTGTCCTATGAGACCCCAGGAAGTCTACTTCACATAAACAGGAGGCGGTGGAAGCATGAGAGGTATGGGAGCCCAGCTGGGGGGTAAGAGTGGGAGAAATCCCTGGGAGACAAGAGATCCAAGTGGCCTTATTCCCAGAAGACAGCCTGGCCCTGGAAATGGTCCTGAGACAGGGCCCCACTGAAGTGGAAGGCAGGAAGTGATTCTGAGAGTACAACCCTGGAGATGATCTTCTCCCTCGTGAGCAGAATGTGAAGGGCTTAAGGGCACAAAAGCTTTTGTTAAAGAATAACTGGGCCTTGAACAGATGCCTTCCCAGAGTTTCTCAATCTGCACCAAGTGCTTAGCTGGCTCTCCATTCCTTTTACCCCAGATACCTCTTTGGCACTGTTAAGACAAGAGTTCTTTACCTGTTGTCCACAGATCAACCAAAGGGTCCATAGATAGACTTCAAGGGATGCGAAAACTTGGATGAGAAAAAAAAATCCATCTTTATTTTTACTAACTTTTGGTTTCCTTTGCAAACCTCTGTATTTTACTTTATGCATTTGAAAACATTATTCTGAGAAAGGGTCCATAGGCTTCACCAGACTGCTGAAAGGGTACCTGATAGAAAGAAAGGCTAAGATCCTCTGGACTAAGGTATGAAATGCTTGCTATCTGTGTTAGTGAAGAGAATACTCACATTGGCAAAATCGTAGATCAAGACATCAAGTCTAATAAACATTTATTACGCACCATTGTGTACTCAAAAGAAATGTGAGATGCAGCAGTTTAGAGACAAATCCACTGCAAATGTTCTTATGGATTATTTGTGCCTGATCTGTGGTATAGCCTTCTGACCTCATCTTGATCTGATCAGTCACAGTCGGATGCACCGTGTCTTGACCCCAACACAGGGATATCATTTTGGTCCTCTTTGAGCGTGAAGGACAACAGCCAGCCGTGTACTAGTCACTGGGGATACAGAAAAAGTCTGATAACAATAATATTGAAATAGATTATCATTCTGACTTTGCCTTCAGCCTGATTTCTTTTAGACACGTGTTAGGCATCTATACATTTAATTTGCTTTTTAGATATGTGACTAAATTATGTATCGTTAGATATGTGATTCCCATTGGTGTAACTAGTTCCTGCACTCCTGTGGATAGCTATTCCACCATGTCTTCCATCCCGACTGATTCTCATCCACGTCTTTCTATAAATCCTCCAGAGGAGAGACACTAAACACAGTGGAGGCCTAAATCTGATTCTTGAGGGAATCCATGGAGCACTCTGGCTATCCATCCATTGTCTCTCATTTCTGACACACAGCCAATCCCACTGCCTTTGCTGATTGCCCATGTGCTTGGTGATTTGAGCATTTCCTAAGCATATCATCACTAGTAATATGCTATACCTAGCCTGCCCCTACCAGATCTCTCTCAAGATAACATCTGTTTTGCAACCGGGAAATAAGATATACAGGCAATGGGGTATCGAAATATATCCTGCCCTACAGGAAAACAGAAGGGGAAAGGGATAAGAGAAGGGGGTTAGTGATAGAAGGGAGGGCAGATTAGGGGATGATGCCATCTTGGGGTGGGGGGAGGGGCAAGATGGGGAGAAAATTTGGACCTCCAAATGGAAGTGAATGTTGAAAACTAAAATAAATAAATTAATATATATTTCATATAAAAAATAAATAAAAGAGATAACACATGTCTGTGAGTTTTTGTAGACCTTAAACTACCATAGAAGTAGCACTGAACTGGGATTTCGGAGACGTATGTTCAACTTTTGGCTTTGTCAAATGTGATACGATTTGTATGAGTGCTTAGCACAGGGCCTAGCATGTGGTAGTCTACTTCTTCCTTTTCCCCCCTCCCCTCCCCACCCCCTTACCACAAATCAGCTGTGCATCCCTCAGAAATCACTTCATCTCTCTTGGTCGTGGTTTTCTCACTTGTAAAATAAAGCATTGGACTTGATGGTCCCCAGGTTTCTTTCTAGTCCTTTCAGCCGTAGGATTTATTCATTTGTTTTGCTTTAGAGTGTCCTTTGGGGAGGGATGGGGAAGGGAAGGTGGAGAGGATGCTTTATCTGCATGGAATAAGGATTGTTAGGATGTCATGCATTTTAATTACTATAAGGTTAGTTCATTGTCTTACCTGAATCTCCTGGAAGATTTCGTTCTGTGACTTCCAGGAAAATGTTTCCTTTGTAAATCCCATCAGGAAAGGTGTGAAAGTCACAATGGTACTCGGCAGTGTCATTGACAGTTAAGGACAGGAGAGTGATGCCATAGTCCAGAGCCAAGTTTACCTTCCTTCTGAAGACTGGGTTGATCAAAGATCCATAAACAGAGTCACAAACAGCAAGAAGTTGCTCATTCCTCTTCCAGATGACCTGTGTGACCTCAGCTGTAGTATGTATGAGGTTGCACTGCAAAGTAGCTGAGGTGCCTTCAACTGCAGACATTTTCTCAACAGCTAAAATTCTCCCAGTCACAGCCCCTGAAGGGGTAAAGAATGGACAATAGTTCCTGTAAGAGCCTGAAGGGTAGATATGTGCCTTCTATAACAAGCACTCTGTTGCCCTTCCTGTAGAAATTTAACTCAAAGAAGAGAAGAAGTGAGAAGAGGGGTAAAATCGCAATTGTAAAAGAAATAAAGAAAATAAAGAGACACTCTTACATACAGCTACATGCTAACAAACCTGAGACTATAAAAGAAATGGAAGGAGATTTCTGGGAAGACGGAGGAGTCAGTGGTCACAAGAGAATCTACTTCCTCAATATCCTTTCAAAACAACAATTGAAATGCAAAGGGAAAAGAGTAGGACTCACAAAACCCCCAAGATAAAATTGGTTTTCATAAAAAGGATAATCAAAGAAATGAGCAAACAAGAGAAAAGTTCCAACATGAGGAATAAATATCATGGATTAAAAGAAACTGAAACCAAAATGCCAGAAGGAAAAAATAATGAATTAACACCCCAGAAACAAAGCTGGAATGATCACAAGATATGTTAATGTGGAAAATAAAAACACAGAAGGAAATAGAGGAAGAAATGAAAATAGTAAAATTAACACAAGATGAAATAAAAATCAAGACAAGATGATGATGAATTTCAACAGCTTGGAAATATCGATGGAGAATATGAAAGAAAAAAAATGGATTCACTGGGACAAATATTTGGGGAAAGAATGATTTAAAAGGTGGGGAGGAGAGGGAGGAAACAGCAAAAAAAAAAACCATATATACATATATGTGTATGTGTGTGTGTATGTGTATATGTGTGTGTGTGTGTGTGTGTGTGTGTGTGTGTGTGTGTGTGTGTATCTCCAAATGGAAAAATGCTTAGAAACTTCACTAACAAAGATGACAGACCAGTACGACAGAGTCTGGAAAGTTATCAGGATTACTCCCTAAAAGGGAAGAAATAATCTGACAATGTATTTCAGAAAAATAAATAAATATTTCCAGAAATATTGGGAAAATAGGCCATGTTCATGTTGACAGAATTCACAGACTACCCATAAGGATGATCCACAGATTCAACTCACTCATGCACGTTATAATCAAACTTCACAATGACAATGAGAAGGAGAGGATTTTTTCATGCAGACAAGAGGAGTATCAGTACCTGTCACAAAATATCCTTTCAAATTGTACGAGATTTATTTGCTCAAGATAAGCAGTAATGGAATGAGCTGGAATATGATACATTGAAAATTAATGGAAATAGTACTTCATCTCAAAATCAGTGACCAAACCAAGCTAAACATAATTTTGAAGAAAAAAGATTTAAGGATATATAGGAATTTCAAGAATATGAGGTGAGCAAAGTTAGCCTTATTATTTGACTGGAGATTTGTGGGGGGAGGGAGAGGGTATTGAGCTTAAAATTGTTTTGAGCTGGAGGCATTGAGGAGGTGACTCAGTGGATAGAGCTGTAGGTCTGGAGTCAGGAGAACCTGAGTTTACGTTTGGCCTCAGACACTTATTAGCTGTGTGACCTGGGGCAAGTTATTTAACTTCTGTTTGTCTCAGTTTCCTCAACTGTAAAATGGGGATAATAACAGCATCTATGTCACAGGGGATCAAGTGGGATAATATTTGTAAATTGCTTAGCTTCAGTGCCTGGTACGTAATAGGCTCTAAATAAATGCTTATTCTTTTCCTCATTTCCTACCCCACATAACCAAAATTATTGTTGGACCAGACTTATGATTTCATTGGTGGAAGGAGTTCCCAGTAAAGAAGCTCTCTCTATCAAGGAAAGATGCAACAAGCCGCAACTGTGAAACTTAGTCTTCAAGAGTTGCCTAATGAACTAGGAGGTTAAGTGACTTGCCCAGGGTCAAATAGTATGCATCAGTGGCAGGACTTGAACCCAGGTCTTTCTTTCTTTTTTTTTCTATTGGGGTTAAGTGACTTGCCCCAAGGCCACACAGCTAGTAAGTGTCAAATGTTTGGTTGGAGGCCAGATTTGAACTCAGGTCCTCCTGATTTCAGGGCCAGTGCTCTATCCACTGTGCCCCCTCCTGCCCCTAGGTCTTTCTTAATGGCCAGCTCTCTATCTGATATGCAGAAATGACCAAGTCAAAATTTAAAAATGATAAGAATCTTACACAAAGCTTTATTTTATGTCATAGAGTCCAACATATTAAGAGAAAATTAAAATTATATTTTCCTTCTCTTTCTAAGTCTACCTGAGGTTCAGTAACATTTGCCTTGGTTTTCTTTCTTTATAGATAGCTGTTGTCAATGTGTTCACAGTGCTGATTTTAGTAACTATGCTTTTCATCACTTCCTATATATCTTTTCATGTTTCCTTATATTCACATTTGTCTTTTTTTTTTTTTTGGTGTGGTAGAGCAAAACGTAGACACAAAGACTTTCTTCCAACAGTGTGTCTCCAGTAAGCACATGAAAATCTTACAAGATTTCATGACACATGTGAAAAAGGGATTACTTTGATTGATGACCCTTTAATAGTAAGTGATGGATGAAAAAAAGTTGTATGCCCACCCAAGGTGTTTGATGGTATGATGGAGAATATCCAAGACAGTCTAAATGAAAGAAAGATTCCCCGTAGATGGTGAGGTCCTCTAGATGTTCATGTTTGTGGGCGAGGTTGTGCTGATTGCATCAAATCCTGAAACACTGCAGAAATTCCTAAATGAAATTCACAGTTTTTCCAAAGACTTCAGCCTGTCTGCATAGGAATAACTATGTATAAATAAGACCTTCCAATTATAGACTATAATATGCAGTTGGATGGTCAGGGCATAGAACTAATCCATCACTACATGTATCTTGGATAGACACTGCAAATTGACAATGATCTGGAACCAAAGTTGAGTTAAATGAAGACAGCAAGATAGATTGTGCTTGGAAAATCACAGAGCACTTTCAATGACCCAAGCTTCTCACTGGTTTTGCATCTTTTTAAAATAATAACAATAAAGATGGCCAATTATATGTTTGACAAACAAGCTTATCACTAGGATTAAAAATAATATATTTTTAAAAATCAAGACCTTAGTGGCAAAGAATTGGAAATTGAGAGGATGCCCATCAATTGGGGAATGGCTGAGCAAGTTGTTGTATATGAATGTAATGGAATACTATTGTGCTATAAGAAATGATGAACAGGCTGACTTCAGAAAAACCTGGAAAGACTTATATGGTCTGATGCTGAGTGAAGTGAGCAGAACCAAGGGGACTTTGTACACAATAACAGCCACGTTATGCAATGACTAATATTGCTAAACTGAACTCTTCTCAGCATTACAAGGATCTAAGGTATCTCCAGAGGCCTCGGGATGGAAAATGCTGTCCACATCCAAAGAAAGAACTATGAAAGTCGAATCGCTATCACTTATTTTTACCTTCTGTTGAGTTTTGTTTCATCTTTCTGATGGTTCCTCATATTGGTTTTAATTTTTACTTACAACTTCACTAATGTGAAAATATGTTTAATGGGAATGTAAATGTAAAGCCTTTATCAGATTGTGCGCCATCTTGGGGAGGGTGGCGGGGAGGAAGGGGGAGAAAAATTTTCAACTCAAAAGCATATGGAAGTAATTGTTCATAAATCAAAATAAATTAATAAAAAAAATCAAGACCTTAAATTACACCAATAAAACTATTTAATTAAAAGTATCCTTATGAGTAATAGAAAAAAAGGATTGTAAATTGTAAGAAATTAATTATTAAAAATGAAAGATGTATTTTGCTCATCCATAAAAAAAGAAATGTAAATACAAGGAAACATGGGAAAGCCCCTAAGAAGTAATGGAAAGCAAAGTTAGCAGAAAGAAAACTGAATTCTCAAATGAAGAAATTAAAGCCATCTATAGCCAAATGAAAAAATGCTCTAAATCACTATTGATTATAGAAATGCAAATCAAAACAACTCTGTGGTACCACATCACATTATCAGATTGGCCAACATGACAAAACAGGAAAATGATAAATGTTGGAGAAGATGTGGGAAAATTGGAACACTAATGCATTGTTGGTGGAGTTGTGAAATGATCCAGCCATTTTGGAGAGCAGTTTGGAAATATGCCCAAAGAGCTATAAAAATGTGAATACCCTTTGACCCAACAATAGCACTTCTAGGGCTATATCCCAAAGAGATCATACAAATGGGAAAAGGACCTACATGTACAAAAATATTCATAGCAGCTCTTTTTGTGGTGGCAAAGAATTGGAAATTGAGAGGATGCCCATCAATTGGGGAATGGCTGAGCAAGTTGTGGTATATGAATGTAATGGGATACTATTGTGCTATAAGAAATGCTGAACAGGCTGACTTCACAAAAACCTGGAAAGACTGGTATAGTCTGATGCCGAGTGAAGTGAACAGAACCAGGAGAATGTTGTACACAGTAACAGCCACGTTGTACGATAGCTAATATTGATAAACTTAACCCTTCCTAGCAATACAAGGATCTAAGGTATCTCCAGAGGCCTTGTGATGGAAAATGCTGTCCACATCCAAAGAAAGAACTGTGGAAATTGAATTGCTATTTTTTTCTCTTCTGTTGAGTTTTGTTTCCTCTTTCTGATGGCTCCTCCTATTGGTTTTGATTTTTACTTACAACATCACTAATGTGAAAAATATGTTTAATAGGAATGTAAATGTATAGCCTATATCAGATTGTGCGCTGTCTTGGGGAGGGTGGTGGAGAGGAAGGGGGAGAAAAATTTTAAACTCAAAAGCATATGGAAGTGATTATTGATAAGTCAAAATAAATTAATAAAAAAAAGAAAGAAAACTGAAAAAAAATTATGAAAGTTATACATAAAGAAGAAATTCAAGCCAAAGGTAATATAGGGGTGGGGAATCTATAGCCTCAAGGGCACAGGTGGCCCTCTAGGTCCTCAAGTCCCTCTTTGACCATCAAAGGGCTGCACTTGAGGATCTAGAGGGCTACATGTGGCCTCGAGGCTGCAGGTTCCCCACCCCTGAAATAGAATCTCAGAGAGATGTGGAAAGA